CTGTCTTTTTCTCTTTCTCTCTCTATCTCTCTGTCTCTCTGTCTTTTTAAGCTATTAGTCGTCAAACAGCATCAGAGTTCTGAGAGGAATAAATTTTACCTGAGGTATTGACGTTAAAAAAATGACAGAGACTTACTTGCTGGCTGCCTAGACAGCTACCCCAGGGTCCTCCATGGTCTTTCAGGGCAGGTGAGAAGGCAACATCCCTCTTCAGGCTGGCAAAGTCCCAGAACATCCCATAGACTTCTGTGGAGTAAGGACTCATGGGAGGACCAGCCTACCTTTTGCCTTAGGCAACTCAAGGCAGTCAATTTCCCAGTGCCCACATCCTCCACCATCTGAAGAGAGTCTTTGCAGTAGTTGAGGTGAAAGGCAGGTTTTCCCAGTGGGTAGTGCTGCCAACTTTGAGCCAGTTTTGAGTAGATCTTCTTCTGTGCCCATCTGTCTTTTTTCCAGCTGAAGTTTTAGGCGGGGGAGGGGCTGCAGGCCATTTGTCCTTTCCTGTTGGGTCTGCTCTGCAGCTGCTCTGCTCTGCTCTGGGGTTCCCACTGTGTGGCTTTGGAGCAGGAGTCATTTTGTGAGACCAAAACCAACCATCGTCCAGGAGAAGCATCTGACGGTGGCCATCCTTGGTACCTGGCCTTGTAGTTGTCTCTGCTTCCCTCTGTTCTCCTGGCTCCTCCTTGGCATTTGAGTCTGAGACTGCAGTACCTGTGGGGGAGGGGCGATCCTCTCCCTGGTTGTCAGCAGTGCTAGCACAGACAGAAGCCTGCTGAAGCTTGGACTCCTGAGGCCGAAAGGGGCAGGGAAGGCTGGAAAAATTCTACTGTTAGATTTCTGAAATCCTGGAAGTGAGAGAATAGGATCTGAAAGGGTCTGAGGCTCAGAGGAACCTCCTGGTATAAAGACTGATAATCCTTTAAGTCTCATTGTAGGGCTTTGTATAAGACAGTTGGGAAATTTTTAAATTCTTGTGGCAGGCAAATTTAGGTGAGCTGACCACCAAAGCCCCGATCTTGGTCATGCCATTCAAAAGCAAAAAGCAGCTAACTCTTGGTTTCAAGAAGTAGGCTGAAGAAGGTGTCCTTATGATCTAGAACTGCACACACTTGAAACTCCGAGGAGAGGGGGCTTAGGAGATTATAGGGGTTGGGGACTGTAATATGAATGTCTTTAACCCATTTGTTAATCTCCCTAAGCTTTTGCACGGGTGGAAAGTCATTGGTCCCTGGCTTTTTAACTGGTAGAAGCAGGGTGTTCTACAAAGACGGGCAAGGTATCAAGATTTCGTGTTTTAGGAAATGATTCATATATTTAGTAATGCCCAACTTGGCCTCTGGGGTCATGGGGAACCCCCTCATCCTCATCTGTTGGGCATTAGCTTTTAAGGTGACTACAACTGGGGGCTCCTGAATCATTAATCCTGGTGGATTAGTTTCTGCACACACTCCTGGGATGGAGCGCCGGAGTTCAGCTATTAGAGGAGCTGCCTCTCAAGTGAGAGTCTGTTAGGAGAGCCTGTATTCTTTCAGACCTAGGCATAAGGCATAGACTTCGGGCCATGGGGAGATCGTCACCCCCTTCCCAGTGAAATGAATTTGGGCTTTTAGCCAACAAGTTTCTTTCCAGGAGGAAGTAAGACATTCAAGGATAACTATGAAGGAATGCATAACTTTCTTTTTTTTTTTTTCAGTCTCACAGTCTGTATTGTGGTCCAGGTTGCAGAGTCATCCTTGTATCCCCTTGAACCCACGTTTGTTTGTCTCACAGAGGCCACATTGTGGTTTTTAATACTGAATGGTGAGAACCAGTGTCCACTAGGAAATCAACAGGTTGCCCCCAAACGTTTAGGGTTACTCAAGGTTCGAGGAGAGGCTTCAAACACTCCCCTTTAATCATCTGGATTCATTAATCCCAGGGCTTTTTGTCCCCTCATTGTGAGCATTTCAATTTCCAATCCCCCCCCCCTTTTTTTAAACACATTAATCCTTTCTTAAGGAGTAGTGCCTGTTGACTATTTGGGACAGTCTGTATTCCCTCTGCCCATCAGGCCCCCCAGTTCTTATCTGCCAGTAAGACTTTTACCAGTCCCAAACTTGCTTATCCTCAGGTGTTTCTCTGTTGTTGTAAACCTTAGTGGCAATAGCAATCAATTTAGTCAGATTTTTACCTTTAAGTCCTCTGAGTTGCTGGAGCTTCCTCTTAATATCTGGGGCTGCTCAGTTGACAAAAGCCAGGCTGACTGCCATTTGGTTCTCAGGAGTCTCAGACAGATTGGTGAGCAGTCTAGCAGGGGCTCGGAGACCATCTCTTAATGACTGCCTCATCGTTAGTTGGTCGTCCATCTCATCCTGGAACCTGCTTACGGCATTTTTGCTGAATTCTATCTCTTTCTTCAGTGGTGAACATTATCTGGAGAAATTGTTGGCAATCCAATCCCCAGGTCGGGGAACGTGTAAACAGGACAGTATCTCTTGATTTCTCTTGAGATTTCTCAGGAAAGGAAGGAGTCTGAAGTTTTTAGTTATACAGATCACTGGTTGAAAGAGGAAATAAACCAGGCAGGGGCTGCCATCCCCATCAGGAAGTCCCACAGTGCAGACAGGGAGAGCAGGAGACACCATCGCCCATCGCTGACCACCTGTGGCTTCCCTGAAAGAGTGCTAAAGAGGCTCAGCTCTGAAGTAGGAAGTTGGGGGAGGACAGGAGGGCGAAGTGCTCTGCAAGGGAGCAGAAGGTCTGAGTAGCTCCGGCTTCACAAGGGCTGCAGACAGCTGCAGCGGCCTCCCTGACATTCTGGAAAAGAGAAAGGGCAAGGTCCAGGGGGACTTAGGTTTAGAAGAAGCCTTTCCCATAGTGGAAATTATTTCACACATAACCATAACGAGAAGACTGACAACAGACATGACAACATGACATGAAACAAAATTGACAAGACATCGCTGCGCGCAGGGTCACGTGATCCCATACCAGTTCCAAAAGGCCGCATTTCACGACCTAATGGCCAGAGGAGGAATAAGAGCGTCCCCTATTTTCCCCTGGCTCTGAGATTAGAAGCGCGTCCGCTAGATCTCCTTGAGCCTCCAGACTGTCCGGACACCAGATACCAGAACCAGAACCTTACCAATTGGTAACCACAGAATAATAAAGTTTGCCAAAAACCAGAGACTGGGGTGCTCCCTCAAAACCAGGTTTGCGCTTCCCCGTACGGGCCACCAAAATGTTGGGTCCAGGGGGGACGCGCAAAGATGAGAGCACCACCAAGTCTAATAAACCAGAAGCAAACTTTATTCCAGAAACCAGATCCTAGGAAAACCAGAAGCAAACCTAAAAATAAAAAAATAAAAATAAAACACCGCGGGGCACAGAAGCTTATCAGCTAGCTGAGACCACAGCCAGAAGTGGTGTTTGTTAGGCTGTGGCAAACGGCTGGTTTTTGAACCTACTTTTTATAGCAGGGGCACCAGTCATTATCCCTGAACAAAAGAATTTTACAACCTTGCCCCTGACCCTTGGGTTGGTCAGCGGAGACCCTAGGGAGGGGAGTGAGTGCTAATGTCAAGGAGGAATTTGGAATTAACTGGTTCCTGGGCTGAGAATTTAGGAGGAAAAACCTTTCACACTGTTTCCAGGTAAATCTTCAGATACTGACTGCCATACTTTATAACCTCCATCATCAGAGCTCATTAATTAAACCTTTGTATTTATCCACTGTCTCCTGGTACCTCCGGGTGTAAACTGAGGTCATGCCTCTCCTCTGGTGGTGCCAGTTTCCCATAACAGAGACAGTGTCTGACCCAGAGGTCACATATCTCTGTCTCCTAAAGGTTAAACTCAGTTTACACCTACTGTTTGTTAAGGACAGTCAAGACACTACCCTCAGTTTACAGGGAGATGCTCTGGCCTTGTAATAAAAAAAGTCAGTTGTAAATAGCTAACTTGATGGAGATTTCCCAGGCATCCGAGAAAGTAATCCCTGTGAAGATTGATCTGTGATCTGCTGAGAAAGTTGTTGATAGTTTACTTAGGTTTACAGCTTTATGTGTCCTTCTTCCTACATCCTAAACTTCTACCTTCTAATCTTTAGTGTCTATATTTCTATTTCTATATTTTTATTCTTGTCTTCAGACCTTTCACAGGAAGGTGAGTATCCAAACAGACTGGATCCCCAAAATCCAGTATATGCAGAGGAAACAAGTCCCAGTGTCATTGTCAATGGCTTTTCAGAAAGGCTCCGGGCCAACCACATTCAGAGAATCCGGCCACATTCAGAAAATCTGGTTGGATCACATGCTCGTTCAGTCCCAATACAACTGGCCTTGGTGAACTCTCATTAGATCCGTCCCCTTGTATCAGTGGGTGATCGCACCCCTCGCAGTCCTGAATTTTTTTTCATGTTCTTCCTCCTTCTGCTCCTCATTTGGACCATGGGGGGGCTCAGTCCGGTGCTCCAATGTGGGTTTCCGACTGTATCGCCATCCATCGTCGGATGAAGGATCTGGGACTCATGTCTATTTCCAATTTCCAGGAGGATAAGTACATGATTTTCTTCAGGTTCACCTTCTTATTTAGCTTCTCCAGGATCTCGAATAATAGGCTCAAAGACCTTTAATTATGGCTAGAATCCACTAATGAGTGAATACATACCATATTCCTCTTTTTGGGTCTGGCTTACCTCACTCAGTAAAGCGTTTTCTATGTCCATCCATTTGCATGCAAAATTCAAGATGTCATTGTTTTTTACCGCTGAGTAAAACTCTAGTGTATATATGTTCCACACCTTTTTTTAATCATTCTTCTATTGAGGGGCACCTAGGCTGTTTCCAGATTCTGGCTATTACAAATAGTGCTGCTATGAACATAGTTGAACAAATGCTTTTATGGTATGATAGAGCATCTCTTGGGTATATTCCCAAGAGTGGAATTGCTGGGTCTTGAGGGAGATTGACTACCAGTTTCCTGAGAAACTGCCACACTGATTTCCACAGTGGCTGCACAAGTTTGCATTCCCAACAACAATGGATGAGAGTTTCCCTCTCTCCACATCCTCTGCAGCATAGGCTATCATTGGTGTTTTTAACTTTAGCTAATCTGACCAGTGTAAAATGGTATCTCATAGTTGTTTTGATTTGCATTTCCCTGATCACTAAGGATGTTGAGCATGACCTTAAGTGTCTTTTGGCCATTCGGAGTTCTTCTGTTGAGAATTCTCTGTTCAGATCAGCACCCCATTTTTTAATTGGGTTAATTAGAGTTTTAGTGCCTAGTTTCTTGAGTTCTTTGTATATTTTGGAGATCAGGCCTTTATCTGATGAGGGGTAGGTGAAGATCTTCTCCCTGTCAGAAGGTAGCCTTTTTGTCTTAATGACAGTGTCCTTTGCTTTACAGAAGCTTCTCAGTTTCAGGAGGTCCCATTTATTCATTGATTCTCTTATTGTCTGTGCTACTGGGGTTCTACTTAGGAAGTGGCCTCCTGTGCCTATATCTTGTAGACTATTTCCCACTTTCTCTTCTCTCTGGTTCAAAGTGGTCCAATTAATGTTGAGGTCTTTAACCCATTTGGAATTGATTTTTGTGCATGGTGATAGATATGGATCTACTTTCATTCTTCTACAGGTTGACATCCAGTTATACCAGCACCTTTTGTTAAAGATGCTTTCCTTCTTCCATTGCATACCTTTAGCCCCCTTGTCGAAAATCAAGTGTTCATAGGTTTGTGGGTTAATATCTGGATCTTCTATTCGATTGCATAGGTCGACTTCTCTGTTCTTATGCCAGTACCAAGCTGTTTTCAATACTGTAGCTGTGTAATAGAGTTTGAAGTCAGGGATGGTTATACCTCCAAAAGTTCCTTTATTATATAAGATTGTTTTGGCTATCCTGGGTTTTTTGTTTTTCCATATAAACTTGGTTATTGTTCTCTCAAGGTCTGTGAAGAAGTTTGATGGGATTTTGATGGGGATTGCATTGAATCTACACATTGCTTTTGGTAGAATTGCCATTTTTACTATGTTGATTCTCCCAATCCAAGAGCAAGGGAAATCTTTCCATTTTCTGGTATCCTCCTCAATTTCTTTCTTCAAAGACTTAAAGTTCTTGTCAAATAGGTCTTTCACTTCCTTGGTCAGAGTTATTCCAAGATATCTTATGCTATTTGTGGCTATCGTGAAAGGTGAAGTTTCTCTGATTTCCCTCCCTGCTTCTTTACCCTTTGTGTATAGGAGGGCCACTGATTTTTTGGAGTTGATCTTGTATCCTGCCACATTACTAAAGGTGTTTATCAGCTGTAGGAGTTCTTTGGTAGAGTTTTTGGGGTCGCTCATGTATACTATCATATCATCTGCAAATAATGAGAGTTTAACTTCTTCTTTTTCAATTTGAATCCCCTTGATCCCCTTATGTTGTCGTATTGCTATTGCTAGAATTTCAAGCACTATATTGAAGAGGTATGGAGAGAGTGGACAGCCTTGTCTTGTTCCTGATTTCAATGGAATGGCTTTGAGTTTCTCTCCGTTCAGTTTGATGTTAGCTGTTGGCTTGCTGGAAATAGCTTTTATTATATTTAGGTATGATCCTTGTATCCCCAATCTCTCCAACACCTTTATCATAAAGGGATGTTGGATTTTGTCAAATGCTTTTTCAGCCTCTAATGAAATGATCATATGGTTTTTTTCTTTCAGTTTATTTATATGATGGATTACATTGATAGATTTCTGTATGTTGAACCAGCCCTGCGTCTCTGGAATGAAGGCTACTTGATCATAATGGATAATTTTTCTAATGTGTTCTTGGAATCGGTTTGCCAGAATTTTGTTGAGAATTTTTGCATCAATGTTCATGAGTGAGATTGGCCTGCAATTCTCTTTCTTGGTTGTGTCTGTATATGGTTTTGGTATCAGGGTAACTTTAGCTTCATAAAATGAGTTTGGCAATGACTCTTCTGGTTCTATATTGTGAAATACCTTAAAGAGTATAGGTATCAGCTCTTCTTGGAAGTTCTGATAGAATTCTGCATTGAAATCATCTGGCCCTGGGCTTTTTTTGGTCGGGAGGTTTTTGATAACAGCTTCTAATTCTTCGCAAATAACAGGTCTATTTAGATTGTTCACCTGGTCTTGATTTAACTTTGGTAAATGGTATTTATCTAAAAATCAATCCATTTCTTGTACATTTTCCAACTTTGTGGCATATAAACTTTCGTAGTAAGATCTAATGATTCTCTGAATTATCTCTGTGTCTATTGTTATGTCCCCCTTTTCATTTCTGATCTTATTAATTTGAGTGGTCTCTCTCTGCCTTTTGATTAGTTTGGCTAGGGGTTTGTCAATCTTGTTGATTTTCTCCAAGAACCAACTTTTTTTTCGTTGATTTTTTGGATTGTTTTCTGTGTTTCTATTTTGTTGATTTCAGCCCTCAGTTTGATTATTTCCAGGCTTCTACTCCTCCTGGGAGAGTCTGCCTCTCTTTTTTCCAGAGTTTTCAGGTGTGCTGTTAAGTCTCCAATATATGCATTCTCCGTTTTCTTTAAATGGGCACTTAGTGCTATGAACTTTTCTCTTAGCACTGCTTTCATTGTGTCCCATAGGTTTGAGTATGTGGTGTCTTCATTTTCATTTAATTCAAGGAAGACTTTAATTTTTTCTTTATTTCTTCCTTGACCCAGGGATGATTCAGTAGTTGACTGTTCAACTTCCACGCGTTTGTAGGCTTTCTGGTGTTCGAATTGTTATTGAATTCTAACTTTATACTGTGGTGATCTGACAAGACACAGGTTGTTACTAAAATTTTTTTGTATCTGTGGAAGTTTGCTTTCTTACCGAATATGTGGTCAATTATCGAGAAGGTTCCATGAGCTGCAGAGAAGAAGGTATATTCTTTCCTATTTGGGTGGAATGTTCTATAGATATCTGTTAAGTCCATTTGATTCATTACCTCTACTAATTCTCTTATTTCTCTGTTGAGTTTCTGTTTGATTGACCTGTCCTTTGGTGAGAGAGGTGTGTTGAAATCTCCTACTATTAGTGTGTGTGGTTTGATGACTGCCTTGAGTTCTAAAAGTTTTTCTTTTACATAAGTGGGTGCTTTTATATTAGGGGCATAGATATTCAGGATTGAGACTTCTTCCTGATGAATTGCTCCTGTTATGAGTATGAAATGTCTATCTCTATCTCTTCTGATAGATTTTAGTTTGAAATCAACTTTGTTAGATATTATAATGGCCACACCCGTTTGTTTCTTAGGTCCGTTTGCTTGGAAAACCTTTTCCCAACCTTTTAATCTGAGTAGATGTCTATCTTTGTGTTTGAGGT